GCAACATTAATAGTGATTTGTGTACTTCTTGAGTTGCAAAGCTGCTTGATTTCTCAAATAATCGGAATGATTGATCTTTGAAATGGTGATCATTTTGAGAATATGTGACACGAAGAGTGGAGGGAGACGGAGGCAGGTCAGCAGATAAGATTAAGGTACCTCCCTCGAAAAGGTCACTTTTCGTCAAAATCACTGAAACAAAAATAGAGACAGGGAAAGATAGTCCGTGATCTGATCTCTCATAAACGACAAAAATTTTTACTCAGCACTTCTTTTTTACACAAATTTTTGCAGATTTCTGTCATTCCCTAGTTGACAAATGAGCTGTTTTTTGGAAAAAAACAAAAAACCTTTTTCGTTTTTTTCTCGTTATATAGTTTTTCGAACGTATCTCCAAGAATTCTTGAAGGAGCTTCACTGTAGTCAATAATTTTTTTTGTTTGAAAGCTCGTGTTTAGGGTTAGCGACTTTCGTGGACCTTTTGAGTTATTAAACTTGTCATCCTTTTTCTTCGCTTAAAAAGTAAAAATTTTAAAATAAGGGTCACGAGAGTCGCTAGCCCTAGATACAAGCTTTCAAACAAAAAAAAATTTTTTAAGTATAGAATGAAGGTCCAAGGATACGACTTACTTTTCTTTTTTCTTTGATTTCGTTTTTGTTAGATTTACTTCATTACAATCACTTCACAGGACAAGGTATATACCAATATACCTATATTTTCACTAAGAACCTCAATTTAAGATCATTGTGTACAACAATGCCTGTCAGTAGTCCATTGTTTGACATTAATCAATTAAATATAGAACAGCAGAAAAAATTTGATACCGTTTACAATGAATTAAAATCAAAGCATACATCCTATCTCCAGTATAAACTGAATTTACCTCTGAAGACTAAATTCGATAGTGAACAAGAAGAAAATGAATGGCGCTATGAATTACACAGATTCATTCGTGGTAGAAAATGGAATGTAACACATACGATCAAATCTCTTCAGGAAATGATACAATGGCGGATAGACAATAATGTTGATTCGATTCTATAAGATGCATCCATATCATCTCGAATGAATCTCCTTCAAAGAGTTATTCCGAATGCTCACCATGGCTATACAAAAGTTCATCGACCATTGTATATTGAGAAAACGGGTCTAATTCGTGTAAGTAAAATGTTGAATATGTTTACACTAGAGGAACTGCTCCAATGTCATATTTATTGGCTTGAATACAGTTGTCAACGAGCAAGAGAACGTAGTCGACAAGTGGGAAAACATGTGGAAACTTTTGCTACGATTTCGGATTTACACGGCTGTAAATGGAACAT